TGGCATTTCATAATTCTTGGGATATTTCGGTTATATATACCATCATTGGGGGGCTGCGATCTGTGAAACTGTCGCTACTTTCGAGGCCTGCCGGGGGGCCCAGCGCAGTGGCGCCGCGCGCGGACCCAAATTTGACCTCGCCATCCCTGGGGGGCTGCGATCTGCGAAACTGTCGTTACTTTCGGAGCCTGCGGGGGGGCCCAGCGCAGTGACGCCACGCGGAGAGAGGAGGAATGAGGAGGAAGGAGAGATAATGGGGGCCCTCCTGACTTGTGCTATATTCGTGCGCGGGGGATGGGGGGTGTCTCGGGCCTCCCGGCCCTCTCGGGTTAAGCTTGGACCTCTGGGATGGGCCCTGGATGGGATGGGATGGGATGGGCCCAGGAGCGAACCCAGGTCAGGGATGGATGGGATGGGCCCTGGATGGGCCCTGGATGGGATGGGATGGGATGGGATGGGATGGGATGGGATGGAATGGGATGGGATATAGCACAGGTCAGGGATGGGCCATGGAGCGAACCCTAGTTTGCGGGCCCCTCTTCAGTTCATCCGCCCATTCGTGGCGGCGCTGCTCCACGCGGGCGAGCTCGGCGCGCGCCTCGCCGCCAAGGTGGAAGCAGGCGGGAGCCCCGGCGAGGCCGAGGTCATGATTGCCTTGGCGTTCTTCGGGGTCAATGCGGTGGTGCACCAGGGGGTCCCAGACACGTTCCACGTGGACCACCTGCATTCGATCGGCAGCGTTCGGGTGCACCTCCTCGCGACGATGGCCGAGGATGGCGCCGGGAAGAAGTCCGAGCATTTCGACCTGCTCTGGTGGTCGCAGGCCGCGGCGCGAAAAAGCTCGATTTAGATCTATATATATATATACCAGTGGCACGTGTGTGCCCAGGCTCATACAACAAGCTGAAGGGGCGTTTGAAGCAGGAATGACATGCAACAGCGAAGTCGCACTCGAGCGCAAGTGGGGTTGCCACACCTTGCGATGTGTGCACCAGGGCCCCCCAGGAAGCCTCAGGAGGCCCGACTTGGATACCAGAAGAGGCTCCAGGAGGCCCCAGGATTGCGAGTGTTGTGTGTGCGATGTGTGCTTTGTGTGGTGCGTGCTTTTTGTGTGTTGTCGGTGTTGTGTGTGTGTATGTTATGTTTGTCTAGCGTGTGATGTGTCGGGCGTGATTTGTGTCTCTGTGTGCGCATGTAGTTCTGAAGCCCCAGGGGGCCCCAGGCGGCCTCAGCAGGCCCAGGAAAACTCCAGGAGGCTCCGAGGCGGGGTCTGGGGTACCAGAAGGTCCAGAAAGCCCCAGGAGGCCCCAGGAGGTTCCAGGAGGCCCCCAGGAGGCTCCGAGGAGGGGTCCGGGGCTCGAT